GATCCCTCATGAATGGATTAATGCTCTCCCTGGGGGAGGGGGGATTAATGAGTGAGTTCTCGCTCTGTTAGTTCCCATGAGAGCTCATTGCTTAAAAAGACCCTGGAACCTTCTCTCTCTTGCTTCCTCTCGCCATGTGATCTGCTTGTACCCGCTGGCTGCCTGCCACTTTCCGCCATGAGTAGAAGCAGCTTGAGGCCCGTGCCAGACCCCCCCCCCCCCCCCCCCTAAGCCAAATAAACCTCTTTCCTTTATAAATTACCCAGTCTCAGGTATTTCTGTTATAACAACACAAAACGGACTAAAACACTCATCTATGTCACTTGCTCATTGTGTGTCTTCCCCCAGGGGAGGTAAGTGCTGAGAGTGCAGACTTTTCTGCTTTACTCTCAGTGCACTGATCAGCACTTGATCAGCACTTGAGCCCGCCCTCATCTGCTTCCCAGGACTGAATGACAGTGGCTCCAGTGGTGGAAAGTCAGGTTCCTGCCCTCAGGGAGCTCAAATTCTAGTGGGGACAACTAAGAACCATCAAGGAAACACACACACACACACACACATACACAACACACACAGCACACACACACAGTGCACACACATACACAGCACACACACACACTACACACACAGCACACAGACACATAGCACACACAGTTTTTCAGGTAACAGTAGTGCTATGAAGAAAACCTCGGTGTCATAGGGTAAATGAGAGAGAAGAAGGTATGTTTATGAATGGAGTGGTCCAGGGAGGCCTCTTGAAGGAAACAGTTCATCAGAAACTTCAGTGAAGGGCCGGCCCGGTGGCGCACTGTAGAGTGCGCCGCTTGGGAGCGCGGTGGCGCTCCCGCCGAGGGTTCGGATCCCATGTGGAGACCGGTTCCCGCTCACTGGCTGAGTGCGGTGCGGGCGCGACACCGAGGGTTGCGATCCCGTTACCAGTCAGTAAAAAAGACAAAAAGGAAAAAAAAAAAAAGAAACTTCAGTGAAGTAGGGATCTTGGTGTGGTCCAGGTCTAGGTGGGTGCTGGAGCAGAGTCAGATTAAGGTGTGGTGGGAGATGAGGTCAGAGGGGCAACAGGGACAGGGTCAGGAACAGCCCTGCAGGGTGAGGGGATTTGCTGGGCAGATAGGGGACTCACCTCTCATGATTTTGGAGGCCCAACTCCATGCTTCCCTGCTATATTAGCTTCCTGGGGCTGCTGTAACAAAATTACCAAAGATATGGTGGTTTAAAACAACAGACATTTATTATCTCACAGTTTTAGAGGCCAGAAGTCTGAAATCAAGATGTCAGCAGGGCCCTGCTCCCTCCAGAGGCTCTGGGAAAGAATCCTTTCTTGCTTCTTCTGGCTTCTCGTGGCTGCTGGCATCCTGTAACTTGTGGTCATATCCCCCAATCTCTGCCTCTGTGGTCACATTGATTTATCCTCTTCTTTTCAAATCTCCTTCTATCTCCCTTATAATTCAGGGTGACCTCCCCATCTCAAGACTTGTAATTTAATCAAACCTGCAAAGTCTTTTTTTTTTTTTTGCCATATAAGGTAATACTCATAAGGTTTCAGAAATTAGGATGTGGTTATCTTTGGGGGGCAAGGGGCATTATTCAGCCTACCATACCTATACTTTCTGAGGTCTGGCAAATAAATGATTTATTCAATTCCCAGACTAAATTCATGTTCTCTTTGTCTTATTCAAGCTGTTTTTCTGTTTGTTATAATGTAAAACATCCAGACTAATCCACTTCCCCCCTTAGGAGATGCTAATAAATGTTTGCATGGAAAGAGAAAAGGGAATTCACATGTATTCAGTGTACACAGTGCATGCAGCACAGATTAGACCCCAAGTAAATTTGGAAATGAACTGGTTCTTATACAATGCAGGGAAGCCCACATTATTATCCTCACTGTCCTGCAAGGTAAAGTGACTGGTTAGTCACTAAGGGTGCACAGTGAGGGAGCGGAGGTTGCAGGGTTAGAAGTCAGGTGTGTCTGACTCCAGGGCACACACATTTTACCCTACATCAGAGCTTCACAACCTCGGCACTACTGACACTTTGGGTCAGATAATTCTTTATAGTTGGGGGCTGTCTGGTATACAGTAGTCCCTCCTTTGTGGCAGATGCATTCTAAGGCCACCAGTGGATTCCTGACACTGAAGAAAGTACCAAACCCCATATACTCTATGTTTTTCTCCTATACATACATGCCTATGATAAAACCTAACTTATAAATTAGGCACAGTAAGAGATTAATAGCAATAACAAGCAATAAAATAGAATAATTACAATATGATAGCATTGCTGCTTTGCACTTTGGGGCCATTATTAAGTAAAATAAGGGTTACTTGACCATGAGCACTGTGATACGTGACAGTGCATCTGATCACTGAGACAACTACTGAGTGACTGTTTGGTGGGGAGCATTTATAGGTGGATACACTGGAGAAAGGAATGATTCACATCGTGGGCTGGATACAGCTGGGCAGAGTGAAATTTCATTATGTTACTTAGAACAGCACACAATTTAAAACTTATGAATTGTTTATTTCTTGAATTTTCCATTTAATATTTTCAGACTGTGGTTGTTGGGGGTAACTGAAACCACAGAAAGTGAAACCACCAATGAGTGGGGGTACTGTATTACAGGATGTTTGGCAGCACCCCTGGCCTCTACCCACTTCATGGCAGTAGCATCCCCCAACTTGTGACAACCCTGAATTGTCTCTAGACATTGCCAAAAGTCCCACAGAGGGGCAAAATCATTCTTCTTGAGAACTATCACCCCACATTATGCTGACCTAGTGGAGGTGAAGGAGGGAAGAGGTGACAGGTCCAGTTGGTCCACAGGTGTCCCACATAACATTTAAGAAGCTGCCTTTATGCCACTGTGGTGGGGATCCTGGTCATACCCCGATATCTACCTGCTGGTTTTCTAGTGAAAAATTTCAGTTGGGCACAGTGCTGCTAGAATGAAGATTACATTTCCCATCCTTCCTTGCAGCTAGATGTGAACATGTAACCATATTCCAGTCAATTAAAAGTATGCAAGGTAGGCAAATTCTTGTCTGTGCCTTTAAAGGGGCAGGGCCGTGCTTTGCTTCCCTACCTCCTTGGTTCCCACTGTTGCTGTCTGGAATGTGCACCTAGTAGCAGCAAGATCAACAAGTCCTGGTTCTCGATACCAGGGAGCACCAGTATTGCTTGGTCTGCTTATGGTCAGATACTACTAGAGAAATCAACTTTCTTCTGGTTTAAGCCACTGTTATTTAGGAGCCTCGTAACAGCTGTCAGATCTGCATTCTATTATGACACCCACCCAAGCCAGCCACAGAGGGAAGGAAAGAAGGCAGAAAGGAGCAGAGAAAGGTGTAGATGGACGGGCACAAGGTGGTCTGGCTGGGTGAGCTCAGAGACGCTCAGGGAAACTACCTGGGAAGAAGACTCTGAGTTGGATCTTGAAGGACAAGAAAGATGTGGAGAAGTGGAAAAAGGGGGAGAGCCCTCCAGAAGGGGCTGTAGCAGGAGCAAGGGCATTGAGGAGAGTCCCCAGTGAGCAAGGGCTTGCAGGACAAGGAGGACTTGAACAGGCAGAGAAAAGAAAGGGAAACCCATCAGAGGGAGCCCAGTGCAAAGCGGGAAATCTCCCTGGGTGAACAGAAACCAGACATAGGGATCTAGGATTTTGTCATGAGGCCTGGGGGACATCTGGAGGCTGGGATTGGTGGCAGAGAAATGGCTGAGGAGCCCTGGCTCCTCTCTGACTCAGATGTTCCACTCTGGGGTTGACCGCTTGTTCTTGACCCTCTCCCCATACTAAGATGCGCACAGTTCTGCTGGGCCTAGGGTCTTGACAGCTTCATGCCCAGGGCTCCTCCAGCAGACAGCCAGGGCTAGTAGGAGTGCAGCCAAGGTCACTGCCTTCAGCCCCAGGACCACAAGTGTGAGTATGTACAGGAGGCCTGGGGGACAGAGGAGAGAGCTCAGGAAGGACCCCTGTGAGCACCCCAGAGCCCACCCCTCAGTGCACCTGTGCGCAAGGTTAGGCCCAGCTGCTGTATAACTTCTGGAGCCATGTACTCTCCACATGGGGAGAGGATATCAAAGACCACCCCTTCCTCTGTCCTGAGCCCAAAGAAGCCTTGCTCAATATCCTACCTGTACCTGCAATCATCTCAACAGCATCCCTGTTAATAATAAAACTGCCTTCAATTATTGCCTCCTGTGCCTCAGACCCTGAGCCAAGCACTTCCTAATTGCCTAATATAATCCTCAAACTAAACCTACAGCGTAGAATAGTGATCCAATTTTTATAGATGAGGAATGGAGAAGTGATTTGCTCAGGGCCATATTTGTCAAAGAATGGATGGGACCCAGGCTGTTCAGCTCCCCTGAATGGCATCAGGGAGGTTAATCTGGCTATCTCTATCTCAACCTCCCCCCAGTCACCGAGTGCCCCAAGTGTTAACAGGTGATGTGCCAGGCACAGTTCTGGGCACTTGGCACATGTGATCTCATCAGATCCACACAACCCCATGAAATAGGCTCTCTGATTCTTACCACATTCCCTTCTAGTTCACAGAGCCGGACACCAGAGACTCAAGGAGAGAAGCAACCTGCCCACAATCATGCAGTTAGAAAGAGTTTCCATCCAGGAGACCTGACTCCAAAGCCACGTTCTCCAGCACTTCTGTGCATAGCCCTAGAGTGTATCCACATGCTCTGACTCATGGAGAGCTCACTACCTCTCAAGCAAGACTGCCCACTGAACAGTTCACACAACAGTTAATGATGGCTGTTAGGACGTCCTCCCTTTGAGCTGTTATAAGGTTCCTCAGGTTCCTGGGTCTGTTGCTGAGATGGAGTCCTGGAACTTTCTTGGTGGCAGATGAGCCCCAGAAGGCTGGGACTACTACCTTCCCATGGTCAAGCCATCTGGACCCCCCCCTTGCCTGTGGGGGACTCATGAACTCCACTGGAGGTAGGTACACTCACCTGTTGTAGATAGCCCAGCTTCATATTCACCGGTGAATTCTGCCTCCTGGGAAGAGGTGGGTTTTGCTGCAAGGGAGAGAGCCTTTCTCATACTTCCCCTTCTCTTTATCTCTTGTCACTTCCTGAGCCCTGCACTAGGAGCTGGGGTCACTGAGATGAGTCTTCCAGTTTTTACCTAGGTGGGGGCTATGCAACTCTGAAGGACTAGTTAGGCCTTCTGCTTGAGTACCCCTAGGGTACAGACAATGTCTGATTTATTGTGGTATCTCCAGCACCTAGTATAGTGCAGGACCCTCAACAGGCACACAATAGATTTTTTTTTAATTATCAATGGTCTATTTAAAGTTCTGTGGGTCCCAGAATGGAGCAAAATTAACCTGTCTGGGAGGAGAAGAAAGTTTCACAAAGGAGGGGCTGTTTGCTCTGGGCCTTGAAGGATAAATATGAATCCTCCAGAGAAAAGAAGAAAGAATTCCAGGTAGGGCGAACAGCTTATGTAAAGATATGGAGGCCGAGAAGAGCTGGCCCTTTTGGGACATGGTGAAAAGTCCCTTTTGGACCATTTGCCCCTCTCCCACAACACCTCCTAGACCACCTGTCTCACCTTTCACTCTCAACCTGGTGCCCTGTCCGGACAGGTATTGCCTGCTGGGTTTCCTCTGAAACTTAACGCAGTAGTAGGTGCCTGCATTCTCAGTGGAGACGCCTTGCAGAAGAATGCTGAAGTCATTGTTGGAGGCCCGCACTGCTGACACGTTAGGGTGGGAGATGCCTCCAAAGTTGTAAACCGCCTCCCGGCTCAGACCAGCCCCCCGAAACCACCTGATGGGTCCGGGGGGACCATTTCCGAGTATTGTGCAGTTCAAGAAGACAGTGTCTCCAGTGGTCACCAATACCACCTCGTGGGGCTGGATGATCCAGAGGTCTGGCTCAGGGTCCTCAGCTCCTGAAGTCAAAGGAAGGGTCCTTGTTGAATTCCCTCTCTTCCTCTACCGTCTGCTGATTTCCTCCCTCACCTCTTCCTTCTGTTCCCCCTTCTCTGATTTCTTCTCTTGGCTACTCCCTCCCGCTTTCTTTCATTACTCAGTAGTTGATTCATTCAATAAAGAAGTTCTGAGTACCTACTATGAACCGGTGTTGGGACTGGGGAAACAAAGCTCAGCAAGAGACACAAAGGCCCTGCCTTGAAGTCATTCTCAGCCTCGTGGTGGGGATGGTTAAGAAAATCGCCCTGAGGCTGCAAACCCAGAGGACTGCAGGTCCCCAGAGAAGGCACCACTGCAGCTTGGAAGGAGCCACAGAAGCCTTCTTGAAATGCTGGCATCAAGTTAAAATGACTCCCCCAACTCACACATACTCTTCATGTCAACAGTTTACAAGGTAGTTTCACAAGCATTCGTCCTTTTTTTAATCCCCTGAATGACCCTCGAAGTTGCCTATTTTGCAGGTTAAACACTTGCAGTATGTAGAGTCATGTGATGGTTTAAGAACACACTGCTATTGAATGACAGACCCAGGATTTGGGTACCCAGGTCACCATTGATGGACTTATGGAAACTGTGATTGATTACTTAGGAATGTGGTGGACTGCATTATCAGCCCCAGGTCTCGACCCCCCCTCTGATAGTGTGGTACATGTGCACTCTTGCCATGGCCTTGTGGTGAAAGACTATACTTCTTTGTCCCTTCACTTGGAGCTGAGCCATGTGACTTGCTTTAGCCAATGGGTTGTCAGCAGACACAATGTACGTTGAGGCTTGAGCTGTGCTTGGGGAGTTGGGACTGGCCCTTTTGAGCTTCTGCCATCTCCACGAGAAAAACACATCCCAGTACTGCACCTCTCCAGCCTGGGCCCTGGTGTGAGACATGAGGAGCAGAACCATCCCAGCCACCTGTGAACGTGCAAGTGAGATAGAAATACGTATTGTTGCATGCCACTGGGATTTTGTGTGATAGAGGGTGATTGTGGATAAAGGTGACTGACACAGGGAGACAGTAGAGCAATGTGTGACCTGCAGGGCCTGACACTCACCCTTCACAAGTACCACGGTGCCCTCGTCGTCAAGCTGCTTTTCTGAATACTCTCTCATGTCATCAGATCTCACACAGTGGTAGGTTCCAGCATGCTCCCTGCTGACATTGTGGATGTAGATGGAATAATCGCAATCAAGTGGCTCCAATGTCTGCTGGATCAAGGGTATCACCCCGGGGAAGAAGCCATGTTTGAAGTTATAAATTTCTTGCTGGTCCTGAGTGCTCACCTTTACCCATTTTATCAGGTCATCAATGCAGGAACCGACCACTGTACACCTCAGTAAGAGTGTCTCACCTTCCGCCACCAGCATGGGGCCCTCGGGCTGTAGTACCTGCCACTCACTCCCACTGCTCTGCTCAGAGGCTCCTACAAGAGAGGAAGAAAAGCCTTGTGCTGGGCAGAGAGGACTTGGAGCCCTGAAAGGCAAGCTTAAAACAGCTTAATCATTATCTAGCCAAGAACAATTGCTTAGGACAAGAGAGGGGTGCTGTTAGAGAGGGAAGGGAAGGAGGGGATGAGGTGGCTGGCTGCAGAGAGAGAACAAAAACATACAAATAATAAATAGCACACAATGTTTAGCATGTGCTGGGTACGACATGCATTGTCTCATTTATTCCCCACAATGCTCCTGTGAGGTAGGCAGCATCACCCCCAC